GGTAAAAAAGAAAATGTTCATGAAAAGTATTAGACTTAAATGATAAATTACATCTAGTAATTCACATTATAGTGTTTATTCGTAGTATAATTAGAATTCAATTTTTTCTTACTTATTTGTTATTTTATTGTTTTTTTTCCTTCCTAAAATGACGTAGCAAAGACTTCAATATACACTTTGCTTTGACGGTCTAACATACCTACTCTTAATCTCATAATTCACTCATTCCAGGCTTCGCTAGAAACCTTCTTCGGTCTTGGTCTGATCGTGGGTCCGACGTTGGGAGGTGCTCTTTACGACTTCGGAGGCTACAGCTTACCCTTTGCCGTATTAGGATCAGCTCTCTTCTGTGCTGCTGTCATGAGTTGCTTGGTGCTGCCCAAGAGTCATGATGATGAAGATCTGAAGCCTAGTGGACGTGAGTAAATTAACATTGATGTAGTTTAATGATTATTAACATGGAATGATTATTTTACTTAAATATTTCTTTCTCTTCATCATCATTTAGCAACAAAAAGTTTTAATACAATCTAATTTTAGTTAAACCGCTGAATCAACGCAAACATAAATCCCAAAAGCCATATTTCAAATTAATATTAAAAAATAAAAATAATAAATATTGAACTTCTAATCGCATCTGTTCATTTTTTTCCATGTTATAGTTAAGTATCTACCTACTATTAGACTATTAGTTACAATAAATACTTTTTCATGTAAATGATTTACCTAACTGGCTGCTAGATCGAAAAAATATATAAAATAGCCATATTTCTGCAGAGGAAAAATTTATTAAAAGTAAATCACTAATGGCATCTGTCACTTTATACACTAAAGTCACCAGTAATCTACGTTACAACCAAAGAGGAGGAATATATACATATCTTTATCTTAATTTACCTACCTACTTACCGTACCTACTTACCTTATTGTTTTGTGGTTAGATAGTTGAGTAGGTAAATGTAAAAGCAACGATTTTTCAAATTGACTCTTGCTCGTAAATTGATTTTTAACTCAACCATAGTGTTTGTGTACCTATAGGCAAATAGTTTTTTTCATTCGTAATTTAAAAAAGACTAGGACGATAGTAGAAAAATCGTCAGTTTATATTTACGATACCTGGGTAACCAATGATCGATTTGTTTACAGCGTCAATGATATCGCTTCTGAAGGTGCCTGGTGTGGTACTGTCTGCACTGAGTATCATGATGACTAGTATGAGCATAGGATTCCTACAGGCGACTCTTGAACCACATCTCCGTCAAGTAAGTTTAAAACTAGAAAAGTGAGCCTTTTACTCAGAACATTTTCATTTAAGTCTTCAATTCAGTGAAAAAACATAGAAAATATAAGTTTTACAGCAAGATGGAGCTTCTAAATTCTTTTTAATTGATATCAGAATAACGCTTTAATACATAGCTCCTTGGATATGGTAGATACTTTTAACTGTACCGCGCAACGTGTCCAACGGCCACGGGGTCGATTTCCGTACGGAACAACTCTTTGTGTTATCCATAGATTGTTGTTCCGGGTCTGGGTGTCATGTGTATGAACTTGTATGTTTGTAAACGCACCCACGACACAGGAGAAAGAACTAATGTCCAACGTTTAAAAATAAAATTACATCTTTATCAACTTCAAATTAAGACTTATTTTCCTTTAAATTAACCTTTTTAATTTTCCCCCTTAGTTCCAGTTCTCATCCATGGTGTTAGGTCTAATGTTCGTGATCAATGGTGGTGTGTATGCCATCTCTGCGCCAGGCTGGGGCTGGTTGTGTGACCACCCCGCTATTAAGCAGAAGTACGTCATCGCTGTAGGATGTGCTTTTGTGTCTGCTGGGTTCCTCCTCATTGGACCTGCACCGTTCTTTGATATGGAAACGTAAGTATTATATTTGATAAGAAAAGTATACTGATTGTCTATTTGTCTATCTTGTAGTCTTGATTAAATTTAACCTTATGTCAGTATTTTACGTGAAGAGATTGGTATCCACAAGTCCTAAATATTATAATTACTTTTGTGAAGGAGCTAGAAAATATTTTTCTCACTAGCTATCACGTACTGAAGTTCGTATTCTTGACAGTAAAGATGGTCTTTGTGGTGGCATAGCGCCTGCTAAAAAAATAATAGCAAACCTCAATCACGCACTTAAACATAAAAACTTAAATATAATTTCACAATAAAGATCATCGACTTTGAAATTGATTTCAAAATTCATATGAACTTCAATTAATAAAATAACCAATTTAATTATTTATTTTATTTCTTTTTTATTCTTGGCCATGGTCGTCCCACTGAAGGGCAACCTCTACCTACCTTCCATTCATCTCTTCTTAAAGCTTCCTGTGTTTCTTTCTCAACCCTTTTCATAGGCGTCAAGTTCATCTCGCCATCTCCTTCTAGGCCTCTTTTTAGGGGGAAAATCATCCAATGAGTTCTCCCGCCCGGTGAGGCGGGAGGTAGTGTCAGACTCTTATTGACTAAAAACCACCCCGTTCCTACTCCTGCACTTCGAGCCGTAGCCCCGCTAACCCGTATCTCCTTCTGGGCCTACCGGGATGTCTATTGACGTTGAGTAAGCTCCATGCAGTAGTGAATTTTGCCCACCACTCGTCTGACATGCGGCAGACATGACCAGGCAATTTAATTAAACATACCTAATTTTTAATTTTGTCATTTTGCAGCCAAATGTGGGCAGTGATACTTGGTTTAACACTCCACGGCCTGGGCATGGGCAGTCAGCTAGTCGCATCGTTCTCTGATGCACTCGGAACGGCTATGTAAGTAACCCATATACTGAAATCTTGATTTTAGAACTTGCTTCTACAAGCACTAAGTCTATAGGTACTTAGTAAAAAAAATATAGGTAATTATGTAAAGTTATTTATTTATTTATTTATTGCAAAATGTATATACATAGCGGTATTATACTACTAGTACAGTACATCACCCTGTTAGGGCGCAGCAATTTAACTTATAAACAATAACTAAATAAGCATCTAATATATTATGTTTGTACTTATTCTATTCATTATTAACTTAATTATTCACAATAAACTTATTATTATTAAAAAAATTATCACTTTTCACACATATTTTAGAGGAGGATGCTTTTTACTTTGTCAATCTAAAGGACGAAAACATCACATTAAATATTGTACACTATACTAGACGACCCATATGAGGCTCCTATTAATGCTCAATCCAAAGGGTGTCTGTAAGAAATCGCCCTACGCGATAAGACTGCCCATTGTAGGTACACTATTTTTATTGATGTTGTCCTATTATGTGATTGTATGGTGTAACATTCAACACACAACTGTAACAACATCACATTACGGCACTTAATTCCAGTGTACAATATTATAAGTACTATTGCCATATACCGGGCACATTTTCCACTACTGAGCTTTTATTTAAAAACCCAGTAATACTCGTCCGGGAATCGAATAAGAGACCCCTTGCAGTCGCACTTGCGACCACTCGCCAATGAGGCAGTAGCAATAAACCATACAACTTACAAAAATCTAGATCTCAGATTCTACCTCTAGACATAATTGATAGAGATTTTGGAATAAGACCGTATATTAGTTTCGGCCGTAACTAAAGTTACCCACCCACAACAACATCATTACACATTAAACTAAAAACTGCATCATCTGTCATGTTTTTTACCCAAACGACTCAAAAATCGACCGATCACAGAAAACCGACGTGAAGCAACGCTTGCGTTGTATTTCGTCGTGTGAGTGAGGTTACCGGAGGCCCAATTACCCTCCCCTTCCCCAATCTCCCCAATCCTTGAATCCCCAACGATCCTCAAACTCCTAATCTCCAAAAAGCCGGTGACGCACTTGTAATGCCTTTGGTGTTCCAGGTGTCCATGGGCGACGCCGATTGCTTACCATCAGGTGATCCGTCTGCTCGTTTACCGGCTAATGTATGCAATAAAAAAGGGAAAATGTGTAACCTTACCATTAAGGGATGAAATTCCCGACGAATCGCAATATAATGACCGTCATAATGAAATATTGAACCAAAGCTACATTTCACAATAATCGTTCGATAACAACTACTTACTTGTCTTACAAATTTATTGGTTCACAATACGAAGTTTAAGAGGTTACATAATAGGGGGTGAGTCTATTGCCGTATCATCATTCAATCATTCATCAACAGCCTATAAATACCCACTGCTGAGCAAAGCCTCTTCTCACACGGAGAAGGTTTTTTTTTAAGGGGGGAAAATCATCGAATGTCTGCTCCCGCCTGGGTGAGGCGGGAGGGAGTGTCAGACTCTTACTGACTAAAAACCACCCCGTTCCTTCTCCTGCACGTCGAGTCGGAGCCCCGGTTACCCGTTAGGACACGGAGAAGGTTTGAGCATGAATCACCACGCTTGCTCAATGCGGGTTGGCGATTACAGACTTATAATTAGAAATTATAAGTCCCAGGTTTCCTCACGATGTTTTCCTTCACCGTTTGTCAGTGGTGTCTAGATAATCTTAGAAAGTACATTTATCTCGGAAAAAGTCACATTGGTACTTGCTGTTGGTAGGTTTCGAACCCGCACCCTCATGCATGAGTAGCGGGTCTCTTAAACCTCCGAGCCACCAAGACACTGCCGTATACTATAATTCAATTCCAGTTTCCCAACTCTTGAACATTGAAGCTAAGAAGCTCCTACAGTTTCCTACCGAAAACCTCAAAAACGAAAACCCAACATGATCAATACTGGCAGACAATTAATAAATTATTCATTCCTTCAGTGCAAGCGGGCTCCCCAACTCCATTGAGACGTATGGACTGGTGTCAGGCATGTGGACCTCCACGTTCGCTCTGGGCGCGTTCATCGGTCCCACGGTGTCAGGTCTGCTTTTTGACTCCATCGGCTTCCGCAGCTCCACGCTCTTCGTATTCATTCTACACCTGATTGTGGTAAGTAAACTCAGGAAGAAACATAAAGTGTCTACAAATAACTGTTCGATCGAGACACGCGATATGGGTAACCAAATACATAGGATGAGCTGTTTGGTTCGGTGTGATTTTATTTGTGTTCCTTTTAACTCGTCGAGTACCGGTTTTGTAGACACAATTATAGAACAATAGGTTGCGGTCACCGGTGACCGCTTGGTGTTTGACAGTTTAATAGAAGTTGAATTCCATAATGCAAACTTATAATAATCTGAACTCAAGACTCAAGACAGCCGGCAAGCACCATTTAGATAATTCCCTAATAAGAAACATTCTCTTTAAAGGTTTTATTTTCTTCCCAGATGGTGTTGATGCTAATGTTCACCTGGACGTGTGACCGCTCATCCAAGATGGACGTTTCCGTATCGGCTGGAGACTTACTGCAGATTGACGGAACGCTTGACGAGAGTGTCCTCATTGGAGACAAGTTCCTACCTCCTCCGAGGACTAAGAGGTAAGTTCTTGTATATTTTGGAATGTTCCATGCATGTGCTTGAAGTTCCTGAGAGCTACAGGTAGTATACCAGTGACCGTTACGCCTGATACACTGGATGATTAGATAGATACCCTGTTCTTACATTGTTATTGAAATCTTTCTTTGATGATCACATCAAAACTCTTTTTATTCTTTGAAAACTTCTTTTAACTTCTTAGTGTGGTTGGTCTTCTGCATGTCATCCTTCCCCCTCCACTTCGCCCCTTCCTTCAAACATTCTATAGAAATGTTTTCCATATTGAAAAAACTTTCTGTTAATACTTCTAGTATGTCTTTTTAGAAGAAAAACTAAGAAAATAACTTAAGCGAAATGATCGATGGTAGTCCTTCGTTTTTGCACGTGTTCAGCAATTACTTTTTTATACAAAAATCTATATACCATTTTATTTTCCGATGTGAGAAAGCGTGACGGTCATATATTATATATTTATTTATCGTATGTCTAAGATGGGCGAGCCGAAGTCAGGTGGAAGATCCCCTGGTTGAAAACATGGTCATCGGCGACAATCTACAAGATCAAAGGACTAGAAGGTAATGTGGTACCAGTGGCTTTATTTATCTGGTATTTTAATTAAAGATTTGAATATTTACGTCTATTTGTTACTATGTTATTATCTTCCTGTACCTACTTATTCCAAGTTAGTTAAAGTAGTTGATAGGTGCAGTCTGTCATCTATCCTTCTTCGTTATTCTCTGTTGTGCATCGTTACATCCCAAACGGCCTTTTCTTTTATATCATTCTTCACTCAATCTTTTTATAATAACTATCGTGAGACATACTAAATTAACTAAAAATCGCCGGTTACTCTAGGCTCATGAGGAGAAGCTTGTCTGTGGCTCGAAACTAGTTGAGCTTTTCTCAGAATTTATATTATAATTATAATCTTTTGGTCATCTTACTCAGTTTCGTCCACATTTAAATTCAGCACTTATTTTATTTAGGTACCTTCATGATTTTCTTACCCTTATTACCTGGTGATAGAAACAAATTTCGCGTGACGCATTTTGAAATACAGTACCTATCTTTTGTACTTTACCATTGTCTACTATCTACATCATTATTGACTAACTATAAGCATTTAAATATCAGCTTTAAAAAAACACGCCTTATGACATTTGCCTGACTGCGAATACTCATGAATCATTTAAAAATCATATCCAATAATCTCTCTGTCTAAACGCAGTCTCTCTTGCAGTCGCCGCTGTGGTATCAGCGTGGAACAGTCCCGTCCTCCAGCCATGAACAGCCTGATCGCTTGCTCCAGCTACAAGAACAGGAGGAGTCCCTGGAGCCAACGTACTCCAAGATACAGGCCTACTTACGGCAGCCTCGACCATAGATACAGGGGGGCTTACAATACATAAGTCAATTAAAAAGGTAAAATGAAATTAATTATGTACTATTTTATTATTATCTGTATATTTTGCGTTGTGAGTAAAAATGGCTGCCCGTAAAAGTATCCAAAATTGTCGATTTTAGTTTTTGTAAGGTTGAAAATCCTGTTTACAAGATCGGGAGACAGGCTATTTATGCAGCTATTTACCAAATACTATCATTATTATATTCCTATTTAAGTACATTATAAGAGATATTTGTGAAGTTTTACGTCTAAATCTCAATACGTCGTTATTTTTATTTAATACCAAATATTCTTAATTCAAAATAAATGTGGCAGATAGAATAATTTTGAAAATGTTTAGTGAAGATATGTAGCTAAGCAAGTATTTCATTGATGTTTATAAATATGTTATTATTTTATTATAGGAAATAGTATAAATTAGTATACATAATTATAATTTTAATGAGTCTAGTTTATGTTGTATAGGTATCAGTACCGTTTTATTATAATTACCTATGAATAATAATTTTGTAAATATGTATCATATTTCTAGTTTTATTTTTCTGTGAAAATACTTTAGTTAAATAAAGATTTTTTATTACTTTACTGCTGCAGTTTACCTTCCCTTATTTTTCTTAACCGCTTGAATGCCTGTATATGAGACACAATATAAAATACATTGTGTCTCGCGTGGATCCTCGTTTAGACACACGACGGGTTAAACATTTTTTATTTCAATAAATGGACTGCTTGGAAAATCTAGGCTCCATCCATCTAGAACCTAACGGGTTACCGGGGCTCCGGTTCGAAGTGCAGGAGTAGGAACGGCGTAGTTTTTAGTCAGTGAGACTACTAAGAAGTCACTCACTCCCGCCTCTCTCAGGCGGGAGAAGTGATTCGATGATTTTCCCCTTAAAAAAATTCATCTCGTCTTTTACGGAATATTGTTTTCTAGGCCTATTATTTACGCATTTGTAAATTATTAAGTAGACGTAATGAATTACATAAAGGAGCATTAAAATTAATACGTTAGCAACAAGTTCAGTAATGATACACGTAATTACAACTTCATAATGAGGACATTCCAGCTATGAGTGTCAAGACGCCTAGACGTGTTTGCGATAGAATTTATGCACTTGACAGACACTTAAGCCAAGTCGAGACTTAGGGTAACATCAGACCACCATGGATGGGGCCCAATGGGGTTGATGCCGATTCGGACCGCGGAGAACATAACGGGCTCCGGCTCGAAGTGCAGGAGTAGGAACGAGGTGGTTTTTAGTCAGTAAGAGTCTGACACTCCCTTCCACCTCACCCAGGCGGTAAGAGCCATTCGATGATTTTCCCCCATGAAAAAGAATGTGTTAAATTGTAACTATTGGTCCCACTGTGCTTTAGATACCTACTTATAGTCCATTCACTTCTGCATTAGAAAACGAAGTTAATAGAAGGAATATAAGAAAATGAATGGTGTACACCCCGCACAAGATTTATTTTTGAAATGAATTCCAATTATTTAATCTAATAATGATTTCAATATAAAACATTGGATTAAATTTTGATAATTTTCTCGCCTTACCTGTCATACTCATATTCATATACTGAGTGTTTTGTAAGTAAGTGTGTATCTGAAATTACTAAAATTTTGTGTCTCGACATAGATAGTGTGACAATGGTATGGTAGCTACAATGCAGCAGTGATGGTATCGATTCCGTGACTCGTAGCACAAGAGTTGATTGTCCAGCCATTGTCCCAATGAATGTCAGAATGACATTTACCTACGTCAGAATTTTGCTATAGTGTAAACTTGCCCTTATATTGCATTGCCAATTAATATTCCATTTCGGACGCCACACTAACTAGCTTTACATAAATAATTATGAATAATGAAAACGTGTTTGTATTTCCATGTGGTAGTTTGTTTTGAATTATTAATTTACTTGTGTACTTCGGGAAATACACGTATATATACTATTAGAAAACTTAAAAACTCTAATAGATATTAGAAATTAAACCTTACTTTAGATATTAGAACCTTATTGGGTTTAAACCACATCAGATTTTAGAAACTCAGAAGGCACAAAAATTTAAAAGTACAACCATTATAATGCACTTACATTGTGTAACAGCGAAATCAAATTACAGGACTACTTAATCTGTAACTATTAATTGGAAAAAACAACAACTAGACTTTCAAATAAATTGAAATTCCGTAAACAAAAAATACGCCATCTCAATAACTCCCGAGTTCCCGCCATCTTGACTTTTTCATTCCCCAAACCACAGACTAAATTTTCCCGCTACGCGATGACGTTTCTTTTTTTTATCTATGCGTCTACCAATATTTTATTTTATTTTATTAAGGAGTACAACAAACAGATACATTATAAAGGCTAGGATGTTGATAATTATACTGTCTTATGTTCTTTTTTCTACTCTTTTAATAATAGCCAATACGTTGGGGTTTGCACTAAGTCAGTATTTTACATGAAGTGATTGCTAAAAGATTTTTGACAGATACAGAACATATTCGTAAGTATGACAACTGTAACCGAACAGCTCTTAAGCTCAAACGAACTCAATTATAAGACACTATCAAAACAGTTCTGTCACTTGCAAATTCTTTGTAAAATGACAGAGACAGCGCGATATTTAAGTACAATTTAAAATGGAATATCATTACAGTATTCGGGCATTAAATATTAGATAGGTCATCACTAATTAGGTCTGTCGTCTATTTTCCTATCATTATAATCTTATCTTACACAAAATGTAAACGCATTATAGGTACTAAGTACTACGTAAGTATGTACAAACAACATTACCGTCACTTAAGATTAAGAAAAGACAATATAAGCTCACACACACCAAACTGCAAACACTTCATCCATTGCCGTTTAACTACAAGATACAAACACAGATCTTGATCAAAACCACCAATGAACAGCATCCAATGTGATAATGTCAAGAGATGAGTAGTTCCCATGCATAAAGGTCAGATACCCACAGCGAAGGTGGGCAAAGGTCGACACTTGACATGGCGCGCACTGCGCAGGCGCAGTAATGTGTAATATACATAATAATAGGATAGAATTCGTGAAAGTTTGTGTGGAGGTAGGTAAGACTTAACGTGGTATAAGCATTTTGTAAGTGTAGTGTAGTACTAAAGATGAGAAGCGGCATATGTAAGAAGTGTAGCAATTGGCGTTTCATAGTATCTGCTATCAAAGGGAGACAGGTGTGAGGATATATATATAGATATATATATTTAAATTAGCATCTGTCAACGGTTTTGCCCGTTCTAAGGGGTAAAAAGTAGCCTATATGTATATGGTACTATTATCAGTATCTACCTCTGTTCCAAATTCCATGCTACGCTATGCTACGCTATGCTACGCTATGCTACGCTATGCTACGCTATGCTACGCTATGCTACGCTATGCTACGCTATGCTACGCTATGCTACGCTATGCTACGCTATGCTACGCTATGCTACGCGTTTCTAGAGTCACTTGTTGCATTTATCAAAAACTAACAAATATCATTAATTCTTTAGTTTTCAGTATGATTTACCTGATGAATAAAAAAATTAGTTTATACAAAACACGATCTGCCTATCCCATCACGGTAGAACATAAATAAATCTTAAGAAACAATAACAGAATGACCTTCAGACCACTTTGAACTTTGACAATTTATTAAAAAAATCAATCGATAGAAGGATAAATAAATCACAGGTGACATTTTACAATATTATTCTATCGCCTAGGTTAATATGGGCATTAAATTACAAGGTGAACACGCACAAATAATTAAGTATGCAGAATTTGACAAAACTCTAAAACAAAACTTCCTCAGATAGACTGCTCAAATAAGAAACTTATGTTGCCCTCTGATAGATGTGGCAGTAACTAGCTGTCAGTGTTCATTACAGCCATTTTAAGTGTGGAAGAGCCATGCTTCGGCACGAATGGGCCGGCTCGACCGGAGTCATACTACGGCCTCATGGTACGCCGACGTGAAACAACGCTTGCGTTGTGTTTTGTCGTGTGAGTGAAGTTACCGGAGGTCCAATTACACTTCACCCTCATTCCCAATCCCTGAATCCCCAACAATTCTAACTCCTAATCCCAAAAGGCCGGTAACGCACTTTTATGATAACCATCAGGTGATACATTTGCTCGTTTACCGGCTTATTCCATTAAAAAAATAGACTTCGATACCCAACATCATACCCCCAAAAAAAATCTCCATGTTTACAGGCAAACATAAAGATTTTTTTTGAGACCAGCCCGCCTCAACCACTTCAACTCCTGTAAGCCAGGATGTAAAGTTTGAACCGGAGCCCCGGCCCATCGGCATCAGCCCTATTGGGCCCCATCCGTGGTGGTCTGATTGCAGTATACATCGAAATTACTCCTTACGGCAAGATGTTTTGCCCCGGGAACGAAAACGAATTTCACGGAGTGTAAGCAACAAACGTACTAAATAAAATATTTTGACAAGCATTTCAAAGCTACTTAGACATGTATAGGTACATATAATACGCATATCGCTTCTTTTAAAACATACCACAGCTCTTATCTCCAAAACAACTTCATGTTCTATCCCCCCAAACTTCGATAAGCGGGACTTTTCATTTAAAATACTCGATGACTGCGAACTGATTCACTAATGTTTTTTTCTGTTATCTGCAAAACCAGTTCTAATCAGTTCGTCATCAAAGCTTACGATCCTGAGTCATGATGATGTTTATCCTTTCCCAGCATTGTGTAGCCATCTTTGTATTGTATTGTATTTCTTTGAAATCAGCCGTTGGATCGAAGACCGTTGTTTCTTTTCGCGATACACTATGTAAGCGTAAAAAATGTTATGGTTCTCATAAAATAATTTGAGATACAGACAGTCAGCGCGTAAAGCTACACCAACCTCTATAAGAGATTTTTAACTTTAGCTTTTTGTTATAAAGTTTAAATTTGAATAAATAATTTTGACAGTTTCGTATACCAACACGTACTGGTGTGTCTGTACTTTGAAGATACCTAATGAATAATTAATTAATCCGCGTTAACATGCCAAAATAATATAAAAAAGGTATCCGCGATTAAAATTCGTTACTGGCATCTTATGACGTTAATAGAGCAAAAAGCTTGCAAGAAGTTTTGACAGTTCTTTTAACAATTTAATCTATGTGTTTGATATGAAACTTGATTTTAATATCGACGTAATTACGATATATGTACGATATTATGTAATAACTAAGAATTTATATGATACTAAACATATAGAATAATAATAAAAATAATTTTATGATCCTTAAAGAAAAGAGTTTTCTAACTGAAAGCTTATTCATAGACTAAAAAATTAAAATTGCTTAACAAGTGTGGGATGTGGGTGTATAATGCTAAAAACCGGGTCTTGGCAAAAGTGGCGAGTACCAGGGCAATAGGAAGGAGCAAGATATCATCAGTGAAGAAC